ACGGAGATGGCATGGCTCTAATTTGTTTTGACACAGATTATGGGTACTCTAGACGGAAATGCAGTTTCGAATCGGAGTTCAGCATTGAGCGATCAAATAGACGTCTCAAACAGTGTTATTGGGGGAGGCGTATCTTCAAAACTGACTTTACGACCTGGCGATGTGGTCAAGTATTATTCGCCGACGTATGTATATGGCGATAAGAGGGGTCGGAGAATGGCCACCATTGTCAGTATTGCGCAGCACACTGACCCAACCTACCCGATTCGAATGAATCGACTCGAAATGCTCCCGCTTTGGACACGCATTTCTCGTGTTACGGACGATAGCAATGATCCGTGCTCGTCAAAATTTTACCGGCTCAGCTCGTGTGATTTAATTGATGGTACCGTGGAAGTGGAATTTCAAGAGAGTGCATTTAGTCGTGGTATTTCGGAAGCATTGGCTGCATCTGGATTAGATCGTGAGACGACAAGTGTCAGCAGTGTTGCTGTGGTTACGCCAACTGTGACACAAGGAGGTCCCAGTGAACGCACCACTCAGGTAGGTAGCTCAGTGGACATGGGGCCCGAGAATCGCAGGCTGAGTGGCGCCGTTGAGCAAGCAAAAAGCAGCATCAGCCGTGATGATCACGCTGCTATTGCAGATAAGCTGTCCGTTTTTGAAACGCTTCTGACCGAAGATCAGCGTCGGAAACAACAACATCGTCCGATTGGGGCTGAAGCAACGATCCAAGCGCAAACACCACCAAAAGCTGCGTAAACCCGGCCGGCATTCAACACGAGTAACCCACGCACAACCTGGCAATTCACAATTTCTCAAGGCGTTCATGCAAAGACCAGATGTGGTAGAGGCCCTTCGTTTACTCCGACGTGAGCGTGCGGCCGCTTTGCACGCAGCAAGCGCAAATACGATGCCTGCGCAGCTGGTAGGTCAGTGTGAGGTGACTAATGATGAGGATGATCCAGACACAAATGACAGCATTTCTGTCGAGAATGATACTGTTGCAGATTGCGAAATTACAGAAAAGAAGAGCCGTATTGCCACCAAAGAACCGGTCGAATGGCCACCTGATGTAACCCGGGTCTACAAGAAAAAAATCCAAACGGCATCAGGTTTAAGAACATTGGAAATCTGGGGAAATGTGAATGCATCGGAGATTGTTACATTGACGAATGCATGAACTCCCGTTCGGACGTCTACTGCTCAAAGCAGAATTGCGCTATTCAATGGCAATGCGGCAATTCTGTAAAGGAATGCCTTTCATTGAAACTTTTCGAGACTGTGCGGTGTGGTTTAGGAGTTTACACTACTGATACAGTTGAAGTGGGGAGTG